AGTTCTTATGCACTCCTTTTCAATAAACGTTTAATGCTGAAACCTTTGGTTATGGTGTATTTACTAGCAATAACTTTCCTTCTGAGCTTCTAGTGAATTTGGATATAGAATTGAAAGTCTTCAGAAATTCAAAAAAGCATTGATTTATTCATGAATAGTATTTTTATATCAAGAACGCGACGATCTAATATTTAGTGTTTCATTCAATTGCGATGGTTTTTATTTTTGAAGAAGAAAGAACGCGACGACCTAATGTTTAGTGTTTCATTCAATTGCGATGATTTTTATTTTTGAAAGTAAAAAAAAGTTTAACTGCGTCAAAGATTTGCGACCTATTGGTATTTTGTCTTTGGTTTTATAGAATATTAACCCAAAAACAAAAAAATTAACACCGAAGATGCCCCTCAACGTAGCTAAAATTTTGAATAACAGTTATTCAAATAAATATGAGTGCGTTTGTAACATTAATTTAATTGTAAAGGTAAGTTTGGTCCTCTATATGTCTATATTAAAATTTGTTTCAAATAAGGACTAGGCAACCTTTTCTACTTAGTAGAATAATATTTGAGTAAATACTTTGAAGCATTGACGATTAACATTAAACTGCAATTTCAAATTGTTAATTATATTGAGCTGTGTACCAGGAAATCATAATTTCATAATACTTACAGAGTTTTATCAGAAGTTTATATAATTATTACTTTACTTTATTTTAATACTTTTACTATGTAAGTTTCTTATCTCTTGTTATCTAGATGGTATATTATAGCATAAATTTCAATTTTAATTATTTGGCTGAAAGAAATATTATAAAATTTAACACCTATGTGAATTTATAAAATTATAAAACAAAAATAGGTAAAGCGGCATTTTACTTGCAATTCTACAAACATGATGACAATTTTCTCAATTAATAAGAAAATACTAATAAAATGCAATGAGGTAATTTCCACTTTATACCTATTTTCATAATTATATAGTTTTGAATAATAAAAAAAAAGCCTTATTATTTATTATAAGTAATTAAAGAAGTAGGTTTAATATGTTGTAATGAATTAAAACGGGAAAAACATTCGTACAATCTTGTTGAATAAAATTTTGCATTAGAAATTTAGGTTTTTTAATTTAATTGAAGTATAATATACTAAACAAAACTTAGTTTGTTGAATAATTGGACGCAATTTAAGATGAGTAATCCTCTTAAATCAATAAAATACAGTGCGAATGTAAGACTCATTTTCGACCATTTGGACGTACTGTAGCTCGATTGTAAATAAAGCCCAGGTGATTCTATAATGTTTATTTACTAACTGTTACTTTTACCGATATCGATGCAATTTGATTAAATAATATAATCGAGGTCTGTGTGATCGTGTAACGGTTTTTACCGTAATTAGTCGTAATCTAATGACGTAATGAAATAAATTACGGATTTTGTGTTGGCAACTCGATTTTCAACTAGTTTCCAGCTGTTTTCAGCAGGAGGAAGGAGATTGACGAAGGAATAAGTGAACACTGGTGAGCAATAACAATTCTTAAAAAGGAAAAGTGGAAAATTCTATTTGAAATGTTTTACTTGTGAATGTCATCTCTTCAAGATAGGTAAGTATTATAAATTATTTATCCAATATAGGTATAATAGCACCAACAAATCCTCGATTGCTATAATAATGTAAAAGAGATTCTCATGTTACTTTTACCTTCTCTTTACTATTATTACACCTTAATACCATTAAACACTGTTATGTAAAATGTCTGTCGTAATTTA